GTTTATTGACTTTCGAGCAATACTTTTTCTGATATATTTTGCATCTTATCTGTTAACGTAGATTGCTTTAGTTGTCAAATTTCGTTTCCTTGTCCTTTGCCATCCGAGAGTAGTTTTTAACACAGCGAGTCAACTTAACATTGGCGAACTCTTGTGTAACATAGGAATAGAGTACAAATAAAAAATGTATATATAACCAGCAGTTATAATAAGTCGGACGTTGCATGCTAATTGAATTTTCTCTCGCAATAGGTTAAGGTGAAGGTCCACTTGAAAATTGTCTACAAATTGTAAATAATGAAATTATTTATCTCTCAGGTGGATTACCTCACACAAAACGCGTTCATTGCAGCATTATTGGATTTTTACGCAGGCATATATATGTTTACATATATATATGTAATATATGTAATATATATATGATTCGGATCGAACATGTTGCTAAGGAAGCTGTGGTTCCTTAATTTCGTTTTTTTATTTTATTTATATTTATTTAATTTTATTTTTTTTTTTCCAAGAAGAAACACAGTCTTTATCCCACGATTTAAGGGTGACACATGACACAATCTATATAACTTACAGAACTGGATACATTCGAATTTTTCTCCTGCTCTAATATCGTGTAAGTAGAACATAATGTACACACACGTTATTGTAGGTGTAAAGCCGAATTTTTTAAAATTTTATTAGTTACGAGGCTAGTTGGGCCGGGCCATAGTAAAATTATGCGTTTCATCTTTCGCGATATTAACCGCAGAAAACGTAAGATTTAACTGTTTAAGTTGTTGTTGTGTTTGAAGGGTCGTAGACTCGAGTACGTGTATATCGAGGCTATTACATTGATCTTAGACGTTTTTTTTTTTTTTTTTTTTTTTTGCTTATTATAAATGATTGACAAATTTCACGTACGCTGTTACTCTTATGATACTCATGGTAAAACAATGGAAACCTAAATTATAACAGACACAGACATATGGTCGTTAACTTACTTAATGTGTAGTATGTGTGGAGAGTGTAATATATGCCAGTAAGCAATGATGGGATCATAGAGAAGTTGTTGACATCTTTAATTTCTAGATGTTTACCGCTATCATGTGAATTTTAAATTCCATGTAATCACAATGAGAAGAAGAGATTCGAAGATCACAGTCATGACTTTGAAAATCAGAAGAAGTTAATCAAATCGGTTGTATTCCTCACGCTAATCGAGACCACATAAAAGGTGTACATATGCAAATTCTCTGTTTCTCAAATTGATTACTTTATGAAAACTATCTACCTGCCGCGTTTAGGGTATACATAGCTAAGACGTTGATGTTTGCACGATATGCGTTTCAGTTGTGTACCAGTGGTCGGTTTGTGTATATCAAAGTGTATGGAGAGATGGATGTCCAAAAACAGCATTCACGGCACTACATTTCATTCTGTCTGAAGCTGAAGCTACGAAAATGTGTGCCTTGGCTTGGAGTGTAAATACAAAAAATCTTAGGTCTCTTATACATCCGTCCGTCCATTCATCCATCCAGTCAGAGCAATTGTTCTGATTACGGCAACTCTTTTCTCCAAACCTATCTCTTTCTGATTCAGATCGATGCAGTTATTAGTTAGGTCAGCAGCTCACAAAAGTTCAAGATATGCGAAAATGAATCCATGACTATTTCGTCTCGAAAGCACCAAGCATCCGCAGGCTACCCGATAAATAATGACGATGTACATTTAGGTAACAAGCATTTTTTAAATTAAACTCGAATTTTACCAAAAAAAAAAACTCAAAGAATTTATTTGTATACCTAATATATACGATTCATGGAATCTGCGGACAAGCTCTCTGTCATAGATAAAAGAGATATTTATATATGCAATGCCATCACTACGGACAGAGGCAGATTTCGTTCGCATAAATATCGCTGACATAGAGACTTCGACGAAGAAACGAGAAGCAGATACACACATACCGGTAAACATAATTAAATTAATTATTTGGGATATTTTGATCAGAAAGCCACAACAATTTTCAAACTGCTCACTTTATATCAAATTGAAGCTTTTGAAGGGAGTGTGGGCCTACGAAACAATGAACTGCCAAAAAATACTGAGAAACTGTTGAAGAAAGATCTAGATGTCTTAGCACGTTTGCGTCATCCGGGAGAATGTGCGTGAAAAACTAAGGATATGTTTTGTCACGATAAAAGAGTAATCATTTGCGAAGCCTTGAAGGACGGAAGAAGAATTTCACTCCAGACATGCCGAGCAAGTTTCATTATACACACCACTGTAAGATGGGGGTATACTCATTTTGTTTTTTTTTTCCATAACATAAGTAACACCCAAAAGGAAACTTCAGAGATCAGCGTGAACTTCTGAATTGATTTAGCCATGTCTGTCCGTCTGACTGTCTGTGTGGTGTGTGTTGTTGGCACTCTCCTGGTTGCAAAAATCAAGATATCGGCTTTAGATTTGGTAGAAAAATTGGAAGTTTCTGTTCACAGATTCGTATCGAAAATGGGCCAAATCGGTCAAAGCAGAACCGAGCAGTGGAGCGTAAACTTAACGCAACTCCGTTTGTTTAAACAAATATTTTTGGATTTTTGTTCGTTACTCAGGAATTGTTAAATTGTTAAAGTTTATGAGGAACTTTATTGTTTAGATTCAAAAATGGAACCAATCGGCCATGCCCACACAAAATTACGAGTAATTGAATTTCATCGTTTTCCATTTTTTTTAAGGATTTTGCGCTTATTTAACCTGAGGCAAGCAAGACAGAATATTCAAAACTGTTTTGTACCCTTCCCAAATGCACATAGGTATATTATCTGCCTAAAAATGGGTTAATTCTAAAATGAATATGGCAGACACCTTGATGACTGTTTTCATAATAATACCCACGAGATGGGTATCATATAAAAGACATCGGAGAGTAGAGTACGAAAAGCCTAGTGGTGGGTATGCAAGATTCGGCCCCCGCTGAATATAATTGTCATACTTGTTAAAGTGTTAAATATGAAAGGACTGGTAATAAAATGGAACTCTAATATCCTGAATTTTCCTAAATTTCCGATTAGGCGCTCCTTCTGCTAATGTGGTACTTACTTCCCAAACTGAAGCGAACATTTAACTATAGATGGAACAATGGTAGAATTACTGGCCGAGAAAAAAAAAAGAAAGATTTTATCAATATTTTCTGTGATAGAAAATGCTTTAGCAGAAGTGTACAAAATGATGGAATGAAAGGATGGAAAAGATTTTGAAAACGATTGAATAAATATCGAAGATTGAATGAAAACTTTTTATGAAAAACGGAAGTACGCAGAATATTTTGTATCTTTATATCGTGTACACTTTATGGCAATGGTACGAATAATTAAAAGTATTATCTTTTCGATCAGTTAAAGGGTTCGCATGTCTAAACTTCGTTTAAGGGCAAATAAAACTTTCTTAATTTTTCAAATTTTTTTTTTTTTTTTTTTTTTTGCACATAGAGTACAATATGATGGGTCAGTGACTGTTTAGTTCACTATTAAGTATGTTAATACGGCTATGCGCAGACGTATACCGTACATACATCGCCTATACACTATTTAGATATTATTTATAGTCTTTTTGTTTTCTTTTTTGTACCCTCCGCCGATGAAGGGAATTATATTTATTTTGTCACAACGTTTGCAACATCAAGAAGGAAATTGCACATCTCAACATATTGCTGACCGCATAAGTTAAGATATCAGCATTAAATTTGACGTGAAAGCATTAGAAATTCTTGCAGACAGTTTGGTAGTAAAATTTGGTCGAATTAGAAGAAACGGTACGCTTGCATTACAATTGAGAATTGAGAACACTTTCATCTCAAAAACTAAAAAAATTCGTTTTTTTCGTTCATTACTCAGAAAGTGCAACAAAAACAACAATAAAAATATTTACACATATTCTATGGGTAATATCATAGATCAATCTTATAGTACGCTATACATACTTGGAAGTAAAAAAGATCGCTCACGCTTACCTATTATTATAGAGTAATCGAAGGATTTTTTTGTTTTTTGTATTTTGGATAAAATTGATGAGTATAGAAGATTCGGTAATAGTCAAATATAATTGCCTCGCTTGTTTTCTTTAATCTTGTATATAATAAACCAAACTCTTCCGAATTCCAAAAAAGAAAAAAAAAAAATCTCTTTTTTTTTACTGCTGATTCAAAAAGCAAAACAGGTGAGCACCGTGGCTCGTGATTAAGAGCAATAAAGAAGATTTTATTATTTTGTATGCATATGTGTGCAATGTATGTTAATGTTTGAAAGTTTTTCGTTAATACTGCCTCATGCGACGGCTTCAGAGTTTGTTAAAACTCAGAGATGGTTTTAAAAGAGATTAAAGAGAGCTCAGCGACGTCTTGAGGGAAAAATAGAGAACGTAGAGAACAAAAACAAAAGTAAAAGAAAAAAAAAAAGCAACGGAAAAAAAAAGAAAAAGAAAGAAAAAAAAAAAAAAAAGAAAGAGCTGAAGATGAAGATGAAGAATTTCTTAAGCCTTGAATATGGGCGCTGCGAAAAATTTCTATATAGCATACTGTGCTTATGCTATGCCTATCTAACAATACATTAACTCTCTGAATATATTTTGTTGTTTGGGATCCAATGCACAAGTATAAGCCACCTGTTGAATAATTTAACTCCATGTAGGAATACACGTTTGTATATATATACATATGGGATATATATATATATATATATATATATATATATGGGAAAAAGTATGAAAAAGCATTGTGGCCGCATTAATAGTCCAATGTTAATCGTGGTCAATTCAGTTGATTTAAAGCTTTCGGGGGCAAAACATCGTTAGGTATTTATGATCGGTAAAAGGTTTCACTGAAAAAAGAAAAATCGTTACTAAATGATCTAAAAATAAATGCGCTCGAGAGAAGAAGTTTAAAAAAAAAAAAAAAAAAAAAAAAGTAAAAGAAAAGAAAACAAGAACCATTTTTATTTATTTACTCACATATATACATATATATATATATAGGTATATATATATACCTTTTTTTTTTTTTTGTAAGGTGCACCAAAGAAATTCCTACTGAAAGTTCAGTAATAAAGAAAATAAGCAATAAACAAAATAAATAAAGAATTAAAAGAAATTGTTCATCAATTTATGAGAATAGAGGTATAAAAAAAAAAAAGAAAAAAAGAAAACAAGAAAATTCTTAAATATATATACAAAATTGTATGAAAATACTGAAAAACATGAAAAACCACTAAATACTAAATACGAGTTCGTTTTAAAGATGACAAGTCTCCTCCAGGAAAAATATGCAACAAATAAAACTTGATTTGAAGCAATAAATATATATATATGTATACATATACATAAATATATATATATATGTATATGCTGATATATGTCAACCTATTAAATGTGTAGCAAGCAGTGTATCTATGTGTGGGGGTCTCTCGGATAGCGTGTATCTAACTACCATTGCCATTTAAAAAAGTTACCGTTAGTTCTAATTTTTTTTTTCGTGGCGCGGCCTTAATAGCCAAAAAACGAAATCTATCAATATTGAATGAAATTCAAAACATATATACATTTACAAGCACGCATGCATATATGTATTCAAGTATGTGTGTTTACATGTGTATATATATATATATATATATATATACGTATGTATGTACGTATTTGTAGATAATTATGAATGTACGCGCTTATGCGCATAAGTATTGACTTGTACTTTTTGTTGATGACTTAAGGCATGTTTAGAGCCATTATTGTCATCGGCTAACTGTTCGTTGTTCGATTTTAATTCAGGGGGAAATTCTTTCGCTACTCTGCTTTAAGAAAGTATTACAATATATGTAGCGTATAACGTTGCGTTTATGTATGGATGGATGTGTATGTGTGTGTATGTGTGCGTGTGTGCGTGTGTATGCGTATATGTGGGTATATGTGCCCGTAAAAAGCATTCTATTAAGTTTTTGTTTACAGAATAATAGTCTTGTGTATACCGAGCACGAACTTTTTTAATGCTTTTTGTGTTTAATTTTTATTTAAAAAAAAATATATATATGTGTATATATTTTTTTTTTAACATTTTTGTTCAGTTGACATACTTTACGTTTAAAAATATCGTTAAGATTCTTAAGGCAATCGGATGTGTATATGTATCGCTGGACTTATACTCTCATGTATGAAATGTATGCATTATATGTCTGTAAATAGATTATTGTTTTTTTTTTTTTTTTTTTTTTTTCACCTACTGGTTCCAAATTCGGTATAATGCAAAATTATTTTTCTTTCTCTTTTATTTATTTATTTATTTATTTATTTTTGTTGTTATCATAGTAATGGAAAAGCAAA